GAAGGTTAAAAATAGCCCTCCTCCACCTTAAAGAAGGTTAAAAAATAGCCCTCCTCCACCTTAAAGAAGGTTAAAAGAACCTGACAAAAAGGTTTCAGTTTTACAATTTTACTATGGGATCTAAAGCCACAGTACAGTCTAGTACCAAGCCACATATTAGTGCATTTTAGTTTTAGAATGCTTAACAAACTTCCAAGGGCCTAGCCCCTCACAATCAATTAAATCTCAAAGGCCATTACTGTTTCCAGCACCTTTAAACTTAGCTTCTAATATTCTACAAGTAATAAAAGTTCCCATACCTCTCACGTCTGTACGAGTCTTATAGAAATTGAAAGTTTTTTGGCTTTACAAACAAATGACAGAATATTATAAAGTCGTCTAATTGTTAACAAAATTTTTAAAATAGTTTTTAAATGTACAAAGAGGACAACAAAATAAAGGCTTAATTTTACATTCTATCACATTCTTATGCTTAATGAAGCAGCATGCTATCACTAACACATACTAAAAGAATCTAAAAAAACCCATGAAAACACCATAATAACAATTTTGAGGTAAGAGACCATGTCATCTCATTTGTTGACTCACATTCAAAATTGTATTTAACTACTATTTCATGAATTTATGTCAATAACTTTGGTATCAAACTGTAGATTAAATTCAAATTTTAGTACTGTACATTACTCAATTTCTTAATTTAAAAGCAAATATTAAAAAAACACAGATAAACATCAGTTTTGGTGTGTCACGTGGTATGTTGAATGCAGCACTGCTTCAAATTCAATGTTTGTGAAGTCAAAATACTAAGTATATAGTTTTGTATGAAATAGTAATTCAAATTGCCAATATTGACATGCTAGAATATAAAATAAAGAACCTCTTTTCTTTTCAGTTTGCTAAGGTATTGCTCATGTAATAAATCAAACACAGTGGCACCCCGCCCTCCTCTTTCCATTTTGGAAATGCTCCCTAATATACACTTTCTTCTATATATGACATGAATAACCAATCAGAAGCTTAGAATGTCCCCCTAGTGGCTTTCTCAGCCATTTTAACAGGCTTGGAGCCATTTCTTTCTTTTGAACCAATATTTCAACAAGGTAGGGTGTGTCTTTAGGCTGCTCAAAATTTCATATTTTTTTAGATTACAATACATCTTAGTTACTAAGCTTGATAAATTATAGTGTAATTAGTTATTCAAATGTATATATAAAACCTAAAAAAAAATTTTGCTTCATATCCTCTAAGTGCAAATTTTTTAAAGGCAGCCAAGTACAAAGGTCATAACTAGAAGAGATAATTGTTTGCTTTACTTCTTTAATTACTGTTCTATGTTGAAGAAAAATAAGTTTAAGAACTTATTTCAAAATAGCAATAATCTATATACATATATACTGTAGAAAAATGTGACTGTATTTTACAAAAATACTATTCTACTACAACACAGCCAAGACAAGTTACTTTGTACAGACCAAAGGTCAGTTTTATATTATTTGATATGGTAACATGAGTGCTGTGAGCCATGTCATTGTAACTTCTGTACTGTTAGCCAGGCACAGCTGAAAGGTCAATAAAATAAATATTATATAAATGTATAATGTTACGAGATTTAAGCTATTTAGTCTAAACATTCATGTTTTCGTGTTATAATTTGTGTTCTTTCTAGAATGAAAGAGGCATAATTTATATTTATTTCCTATGTTTTTATGGTGGTTGCTAGATTGGCCAAACCTACCGAACCTGTACAGAGATTAATTACTGAAAAGAACAGATAAAATAAAAAGTTTTTCTAAAGAAATGTTTGATAACTATCTGGACATTATAAAGATTTCGCATGTGAAATTTCAAAACTTCCTGATGCATAAAAGTATTTTTAATCTTAAAATGAATATTACTCTCCTTGATAGATACGCAACATGCGTAAAAAAAAAAAGACGAAAAAAACATTGCTTTACAAACCTTAAGACTTAATAAAAAAACTGATATTTTGCATATGAAAGAACTGTAATGTTTACTGATAATCTGACAAATTTCGTTAACAATCGCTTACTAATTTAAAAGTTATAGCATGAAAACTATAACAAGCACAAAATGGTTACGAGGTCGATCCCAGGGACCAACCTCGTGCTGAAAGAGATAAGGTACAACAAGTACATTCATATCTTGATAAACTAATTTAGTGAAATAATTATTATTATTACTGAGTGTTGACTTTTGTTTAGGAAGCCAAGAAAAAAATTTAGTTAACTCACCCTACGTCCTAGACGTCGGTTGTTTTGACTTCTTCTATTCAGCTGGTTCACCTGTATATAAAAAGGCAAGACAATACAATTTGTATGATAATTTTTAATATATTACATTATATTTTATATAAAAATCTCTTATATTTTGTACTAACAATCGATCTATCTCCAAATAACTCTTTCACGATATTTTGAGATTTCAAGCCTATAGAAAAACAAAATAAGTGTAAAGAACAGATTATACAATGAAGACAAATCACCTGATGAAGAATGCATGAATAATACTGGAAGTTTATGATAGTAAATACATGCATAAATCCTATGAAAGTACTATACTTCTATAATATTAATTTATCCCCATATTTAAAATTGCACTCAAAACTCAAAGATTAATACAATAACTTCGTAAAGTTTTGCAACACTACAAAAACAGATTATTTTTCTTCTATAACGACAACTCCTTTTTTTTTTACATTACTGCTTCTCTGGTACTTAGTTTTACTTTCAGTAAACAACTCCAATCTCTTTCTATCTTGTGTATTAAGTTTCTATATGCATACTTGTAAGATATGTGCTGACAATTCTTTCTGTGTTTAAACCTCTTAAGTTCACTTGCTGCACTTCTGAGTTTGACACGACAATCACATCTAACTTGAAACAAACAATTCTGTTTGCATAGGAACCAAAACTTATTGAAAACTTACAGAAACCAAAGTTTGTATCAAGCAAATAAAGAAGCTAGTTAGTTGGTCAACTAAGTATATAGACTAAAAATTTGGAGAAAGTTTGAATGGGTAATGAAGACAACTTTATGACAAATATACATTTATGATAAAGTTTTCTTCATTACTATTTCAAGCCGCTTCCAAACTTTTATTTTCTAAAAAGTGGGTTCCTAGTCTTCAAATTATAGTGCAAAAAACAGTAGAAGCTCCATTTTCAACAAAACAGATGAATGCTACTGCTCATAACAAAATGTTTTATCGGATACTGAGTAATTACTCAGGATTTATCATTAAGTAGCTGATTGCCGCTTACACAAAGTACTCTTTTTAATAAAATCAAATGGTGTAAGTAGTTTCTGTCTTGAATTTTGTTTTTATTTTATATAAATTACTGGCCTAAAATCTTTTTTACTTCCAAAAATATTACAATATGATCAAATAACAACCTTCAAAATTCTACTGAATTGTTGAGAGCACACACTACTCCAAATTGTAGTCCTCTATTAACTCAAAAATTAAGCTGCCTTAAAAAATCTTTCACTGCAAAAATGACCAAGATATTAGGTCGTCAAGAAATTAATGTCGC